CCAGGGCGGCCTCCGTAACCCAACCACATCGGTAATGAATCATCCCCAGCCCGGAGGCGGGGATCTGTGTGTCTCTGCACCACAAGCCCTGTGCCTGCACCAGGCCAAGGACAGCACATCTGGGGGATGAGTGCATGGCTGACACTGTCCTCCCTCCCGGACGCCAGGGAGCCCCTGCAAGGGCTAAAGCTTCGCTGGGGCGCCGAGCTAGGCCTGGGTCTCTCTGATTCTCCTCAGTGGTCAATGCCCAGCAGAGGGGCCGCAGGGTGTCTGTGTGATATCTTGGATCATCTCCCAGGAGCCCTGGGGCCCTGAGGACCTGCCCACTCTGCTCAAAGGCAGCTTGGCCCTCAGAGAACACGTCCTGCTCACAAGGCCCGTCTCCTACGCCGAGATGCCCCGTTCTCGCCTCCGTCCCCCTGTTCCTAAGTCAAATCCGATGTCGTCTCCTATGTGTTTTTCTTCTTCCAGTGCCCTTCTGCCTGCCCTCAGGGCAGCCTCACAGCCAGGGCTCGTCTTTCCATGCCACGCTCCCTGCCTGGGATGCCCTTCCCTCTGCTCTCCGCCTCTCAGAAGGCTCCAGAGCCAGCTCCTCCAGGCAGCCCTCCCGACTGCGCTTAGTCCTGGAAACCATGGTCCCAGCGATGGTCAGCATCACTCTAGACTCTAGAGTCTAGAGAATAGCGTCTTCCCACTTTGACCACCAGGACCCGAGGGAAGTGACAGTGTTGGACACTTGTCCTTTTGGGTTCCCTTAACTCAGAATTCGTCCACAACAGGCTGGAAAGTGATCGAGTGTTAAGTGTATACGAGGAACTTGCACAGAAATGGAGGAGTCTGGCGTCACTGCTCACTCAAGACACCCAGCGCTGGAGCTACGGAAAACACAGGATAACGGGAACTCCAACTTAAATCCAAGAAAACGTGAGTTCTAACAAGGAGAATGTGGGGTGCTATGGGCTGAGCTGTGTCCCCTGAAAATTAAAATGTTGATGCCCTAACCCCCAATATGACTGTATTGGAGGTAATTAGGGTTAAATAAGGTCCTGAGGGTGGGGTCCTGATCCGACAGCACTGTGTCCTGCAAGCCAAGCTCTCACCAGAAACTGGACTGACCAGCACTGACCTTGGACTTCCCAGCCTCCAGAACTAGAGAACATAAATTTGTTTTGGGGGCTGCACAGTCTCCGGTGTTTGTTGTGGCAGCCTGAGCAGATTACCACGTGGGTGTCACTAACCCTCTTCCGAGATATACGAGCGCTAAGTGCCATTCTGTATACACACGGGCAGCTTACTAGTAACAGCAACAAGTATCCTTTACTGAGTGTTCGCAAGGGGCCCGACACTCTGCGAAGGACTTACTTCCCTGCCTTTGCTCATTTGCTCCTCACAGCCAGCCAAGGAGGACATAAGCTTTCGTATCCCGTTTACAGATAAAGAAGCAGAGGCTGAGACACGTTAAGTGACTTGTACAAGGTCACTGCACTGTGGCTAAGCCGGGAGCACAACCCAAGTCCATCCGCATGGGAACGGCACCTACTGGCAAGCCCAGGAGGAACACCACCCGCTCATCGTGCCGGGTGGACCAGCTGACCCTCGCCCAGCCACAGCCTAGGACCCTCTTTCCTCCCCAGGCCTCAATCACGCCCGCTAACCCTTCCCCGTCTGCTTAGAATACACCGAAGAGCCGGATTCTCTCAGCATATGGCCCCCGTCGTCTGCTGCCTTGTTCCCAACCCCGTCATCTCCCAGGGACGCCATCGCCATCTAACTCGTCTCTGGCTCTCCCTCCACGTGCCCTGCCACAACCAGACAGCAGCTGGGCTCACCCCTTACACACAGATCAGACCACATCGCGGCCCTGCTTAAAATGCTCCACTGGCAGCCCATTCATCTGGGAATCAGATCTCAACCCCTGACCTTGACTCCTAAAGCTGTGTGTGATGGGCCGTGCCCACCTCTCCCCCTCTCTGCCCCAGACGCCCTCGTTGGTCCTGGAACATGCCCAGCTGGTTTCTGCCCCAGGGGCCCGCGTGCTTGCTGTTCCCTCTGCTTGGAGCTCATTCCACCCAGAGCTGGCTGCTGCTTGTGTTCAGGTCTGTGCTAAGAGAGGCCTCCCAGTCATCCTCTGTCACACTGTCCCGTTCTAATCCACTGCAGAGCCCTCAGACTCTTTGACATTGGTTTTTGTTGTTGTTGTTTTTGGTACGTGCCCCTAGAGGGAACCGAACCCAGGACTCTCTGGTCCGCAGGCTGACACTCCAACCGCTGAGCCTATTTGACTTTGTTTTATGTTTATTGGTTTGTTTTCTCTCTTCTCCCACCCTTGAAAAACAATCTCCATGAGAACAAGGATTCTGTCCATCTTGTTCACGGTATCACCAGCACCTGAACAGGGCTTGCGCACAGTGGACCCTCTGCTATTTGCAGAATGAATGAATAAACAAATGAATAGCATAGTCTTCTTAAGGATGGATAATGACACCCCCCGCCCCCAGTGCCCCTCATTCAGCTGGGCCCTAACTAGCACGTTCTCCTCCCACCTGTATCCAGGAACAAGTCCCCTCAGAAGCTCAAAGGGCTCCTCACCTTGCCACGCAAGCCAGGACCAGGTCCCCAGCCTGCAGCTAAAGAATAATAATTTCAAATGGAAATGTCCTCTGGACCAGGCCCGTGGTACAGGGTATCGTGGGGTGGGGGTGACAAGAGTGTCTGGAGGAGCATTTCCCCCCTCACATTCAGCTGAGGTCCTCCCCCAGAACAGCCGCTGTGCCCAGAAATGGCGCTCCCAGGAGCAGCTGGCACGAACCCTTCAGCAGCCGAGCTCGGCGGCAGAGGCCCCAGATCTTTCCAGGGGAAGGAGACAGGCTCTGCTCCCTGGTCATGGGCCAGCAAACCTGAACATGTACAGCAGTTCTGGGGCTGAAGGGCAGAGGAGGAAAGAGGCTGCTGGGCCCCACTCCCCCGGGCAGAAATCACAAAATATAACCCCACCTGCTCAGGTGCCAGGGGCAAGACGTTCCTGGTCCCTGTGCCCAGCACCTATGCTGGCATCTAGTCCAGGGCCTGTGGAGGACTGCGGGAGGAGCTGGCACAGGAGTGCCCATCCCCTCCCTGACACCCAGGCACCTGCCACACCTGCAGTGCTCTTGAGAACCTTCCGCAGTCCGTCGACATTCCTCAGCCAGGTCGCCACATGCCCCAGAGCCAATCATCTTAGCTGAAACCCTGGTTTTCCCACTTAGTAGTTGTGCACATTAACCTCTTTGCACCTTGGTTCTCTTACCCAGCCTCTGAATGCCATTGAAAATGCCCTTGCCGCCCTGGCCGGTTTGGCTCAGCGGTTAGAGCGTCGGCCTGCAGATCAGAGAGTCACAGGTTTGGTTCCCGCTAAGGGCACGTACCTCAGTTGTGGTGTGTCCCCGGCCCTGGTTGTGGTTGTGTGGGTGGTAATCACTTGATGTGTCTCTCTCACATTGATGTTTCTCTCTCTCTCCCTCTCTCTTTCCCGCTCCATCTGAAGATAAATGCAAAAATGTCCTCTGGTGAGGATTGAAAAAAAGAAAAGAAAATGCCCATGCCAAGGTTGCCAATGGCCTCCAGTGTTTGACGTCTTCATATTTTACAGCCCTGTCAGCTCTTACCACCCACCCCACCCCAGTGTTCTATCTCCTGTTACATCTTCCCAGAGTTATTACTCTCGAAATCTTAATGATTTGATCATTTTTTGTCAAATTTTGGGGTTCTCCCACACAAGGTATTCTCAAGAGAGAAGGTTCTTTCTCTCTCTTGTTCATCAGAATGACTCCAGGCTTAACTCAGTGACTGGCTCATGGAAGTTGCTTGAGGATGATCTCAGGAAAATTAGACTGGGAGACTGAAAAAGCGAGAGACCTGGGATGTTGGAAACGGTGTCTCCAGCCCAGGAGCCAGCACAGGGCAGGCCCCGATTACGGCTGTGCAGCAACGTCTAAGCTCAAGCAGGAATAAGAACCCAGAAGGGTTTCTGGCGAGAGAAAAAGTAGGCTCCATGGAAGAGACGCTAAATCATCTTGAGGACCAGAAGGCACATTACTCTTTGGTCAATGAGAAAAATAAAGGCAATCCAGAACTCTAGGAAAAACAAAATTTTATTGTGAAATGTATTGGACTCATATGAAACAATGTAGGACGTGGCACTTAGTACAATCAATGGAGTATAAGAACGGAGAGCCCTGGCCAGGTGGCTCAGCTGGTTGGAGCGTCATCCCGTACACCAAAAGGTTGCGGGTTCGATTCCCAGTCAGGGCACATGCCTACGCTGCAGGTTTAATCCTGGTCAGGGTATGTACAGGAGGCAACCTATTGATGTTTCTCTCTCATTTTCTCTCTCTCCCTCCCTCTCTAAAATCAATAAAAACATATACCCAGGTGAGGATTAAAACAGAAAAAAAAAAAAAAAAAGAATAAAAGAAAATGAGAAAACTCTTTATTTAACCTACTGCAAAGATTATTCTCATTTGAGTGGCCAAGGACCAAGAGACCAGTAGCACAGGAAGTTCAATCCTAGATACAATTTGGCTCTGAGGAGAAGTGTATTTACTTAATAACAACTAATAACATTTACAGAGTACTTAATGTGCCAGATGAAGTTTTAAGAGCTTTGCATATAATATTGCAATCCTCATAACTCTCTAAGGTACATATTATGATTATCCCTATTTTACAGATCAAGATGATGATAAAACATATTAAACAAGTTTTCAGAGGTCATATGGCTAGTGGAAGAGCTGAAGTCACTCCGGGGCCTGTGAGACCCAGAGGTCCACTCTGCAGGGCGGGCCCTAGAAGCCAGACCATTTGACCTTCTGGCCAAGCAGCATAGGATATCACGTGCTCACACGTGTGCACACAAACACACACACTCCTGGGAGCCGGGATGCAAAGCCACAGAGCTTGTCCAGCAGCAGAGCTGGCCCAGGCCGGGTAGCCAGAGTGGCGGGACCAGAGCGGGGCCTTACCTTCCGACAGTCTTTGCAGAACACCGACGAGCTGCCCAGGTAGCCCAGCACCTCTCCGCAGAGCAGACACTGGGAGAGGCCGTTCCCCATCACGTTGCGCCGCATGGTGTCCAGCCGCTCCACCAGCCGCCTGCAGCACAGGGCGGAGTCAGATGGAACGTGCTTCCTGTCCCAACCTGACCACTGCCCGGACACCGCGGCCACGGGCCCCACACGACACCACGCCCCACGTGCTGTTCCCTCACCTGGGGTACTGCTCCCTGCCTCGCCTCTTCCCCCGGCTACACCTCTGGTCACTCGTTAACTCACTGATATTAATTGAGCCCCTATGATGGTGCCAGGCGCTGGGAATATTGTAGGAAACAAGCCAGAGATGGACGTGGTCTCTGCTCTCATGGAACTTATCTTCCATAAAGGGAGGAGGGCCAGAAACAGAGACGAGCAAACTGACCTCAGAGGGGAAAGCATCACGGGAAAAAGTAAGTGGGCAGGGGAAGGAGACGGGGGGGGGGGGCAGGGGCACGTCTGAGGGTGACCAGTGAAGTCCTCCCCGAGGACGCTGAGCTGAGAGCTCAAGGATGACGAGGACCAGACCACGTGAAGAGCCAGGGGGAGCAGTCCAGGCGGAGGGAACAGCCTGGAACGTCCGGTGAGAAAGGGCCAGCACGTCAGGGCGGTAAGAAGGCCAGGTGGCTACCGCTCTGTGGGCACGCGGGCAGGAGCCGGGATAAGAGGAGGCTGGAGGGGTGCGGAGGGCCGGATGACGTGGGTTTTGTGGGCCGCAAAGAGGAGTTTGGATCATTCTCTAAGGTCAGGGCACGGCTCCTGAGGAGTTTCAGCAGAGGAGTGACTGGATCGGGTGACAGATAAAAGCTCACTCAGGATTGCGGGGGAGCAGGGGGGCCTGCATGGAGGTGGGGAGGCCAGCGGGAGCTGCTGGAAGGCCCCGGGCAGGAAGGTGGAGGCTGGCCGGGCTGTATTTCAGAGGCAGCCCCGACGGATGTGGGTGCGGGGAGGTAACAGAGATCCAGGATGATGTAGAGGCCTCTGGTTTGAGCAACAGGGCAGATGAAGAAGCGGGAGAAAGAAAAGGAGCCTGTCTCTGAACCTCGGATGTGAGTGTCCAGGAGCCGTTCCTGAACCCCACTAACCCTGGGGCAGGTGCCTCTCCTCGCGGGCCCACAGCCTCGCCCCCTGTGACCTGCTCCAGGACGGCCACACTGTGAGCCCCACGGCACCCGCAGCACTTCAGGGCTGTCGGCAGCAGGAGCTCCAGTGCCCAGTGGCCACGCGGTGAAAACTCTTGAATGAATGGAGGACAGAGGAGGGGTACCTTATCTCCCCTAACTGTCCCTCCCCGCCCCCCGACGGAGAAGGATGCTATCTCCCCCATTTTAAAGATGAGATGACTGAGGCTCAGAAATGTGAAGTCACTTGCCAAGGACACGCAGCTCTTAAGAGGGGGGGCCTGAGTCCACACCCAGGCCCCGCTCTCGGGGCAACCTCGCTCTCCCGAGGTGATCAGATTCTGCCAGGGAGCCGAGGGCGAACAGACTGGCATGAGGCTGCCTCTAGTAAGCACTCCTGCCTTCCACAGGGGTCACCGTCCTTTACCCAGGGACCTACAGGGTCTCTGGAGCAAAGCCAGCTTCAGCCCTGGCCTGACCCGCTTGTTCTCGGGGACCCCTGTCGGTAGGACCCCGTGCCTCCTAACTCATGGAACACACAGGATGCACCTATCTCCTCCTTCTGACTAATCTGAGGCACTGCCTTCTGGGGCCTTCTGTGCCCCTGCCAGACCCGGGGCTCCCAGAGGGCGCCAGTGAGCAGCACAGGGAAGGCCAGGGCGGAAGCCCAGGTGGACGAGGGGGCACAAATGCTTCCACTATACGGCGGGGAGCCCACGTGAAACACCCCCCACTGCTCCCTGCACACCCTCCTGGGTGTCAGTCGTCAGCTGGGGGGTCTGCAGAGCACCCTGCAGGGCCCTGGGCAGCACAGAGCCAGAGCCAGGTCAGGAGCAGGGACAAAAGCAAGACGAGTCTCTGATCTAAGCCCTCTGTGAAATACAGTGATAGTAAAAGGTCAGTTCACTGAGGCACATACACTGAACTGCCTGGACAGCAGTGACCTTTGTAGCAGTGCTTCCACTGTCTAGACCTCTGTTTCCACAAAGCCCGACTTCTTTAAATGATCACATATTTACTAGAAAAGGATAAACAGAAGCCGCACAGGGAGATCAGAATCAAATTAAGTCCTGCCCACTTGTGCTTTTCTGTGTTTTCCAGACTCTCGAGGAAGTGTGAATTGCTTTTGTCACTAAACAAGCAAAGAAAGACCCAACAAAGCTGTTTGAAGACAGCGTCTCGTCAGCTCTGGATGCTGCGGGCCAGGGGAAGAGCTTAGAACAAGGTGGACAGTGGCTCCTGCTGGAGTCTCCCGTGGGCCCTCCAGGGGCAGCCTCGACCTGAATCCCTCGCTGCTGAACCACGGCTGCAGAGCTGAACGGCCCCAACACACTGCACCTCACTCACTCACGCCCACAGCCTGGGCCCCCCAGCAGCCGCTGTCCCCATCTTACAGGTGGGTACACTGAGGCTTCGATGGGCTGGGTCATGTGTCTACCCTCCACGGGTGTTCAGGCAGAGCTGTCACCCCAGTGGTGGAAAGCCAGCCCTAGGACGAGGGTGCCAGATGCCCAGCTCGCTGGTCCGCTCCTGACCCAGCCTGGAGCGCTCACCCGATCCTCTGCTGCTCCAGGACGTCCAGCCGCTCGGCCCTCTGGATGACCTGCAGGATGGCCTCCACCTCGGCGGGGCTGAGGCACTGGCTCTTCCTCTGCTTCTCTGTCTGGTAGGTGTGCACAGACCAGCCTGTCTGCAGCCTTGACAGAGAACAACACGGGCTTTGAGGCCACCCCGTGCAAACCCCAACACCCCTGCCATGCCCCCAAAGCCCCCTGAGAACAGTCTGGGAAGGCCCAGCTGCTGTGTCAGGGGACAGGGAGATGCCAGGCTCCAAGTGCCGGCTCTGCCACCCACCAGCTCCTGGGCCTCGCAAAGATGGCAGCACCACCTTAGCGCTGCGGGGACAGGAGCATGGAAGGAGCCCGCTGTACACATGAAGGCCACGACCACGCGCGTGAGGTTTGCAGGGAAGAGCGCAGAAGGTGATCAAGAGAAGAATGAAAACCTAGGTCTGAGTCAGAGGATAAAGTGAGATGGAGTTTACTATGGAACAGGAAAGAACTGTAATCAGGTTTAAAATAAACCTTGCGGCCCTGGCCGGTTTGGCTCAGTGGTTAGAACGTCGGCCCACAGACCAATGAGTTGCGGGTTCCATTCTGGTCAAGGGCACGTGCCTCAGTTGAAGTTCATCCCCGACCCTGGTCGGGTCGTGTGGGAGGCAACCAGTTGATATGTCTCTCTCACATCAATGATCTCTCTCTCCCTCTCTCTCTCTTTCTCTCCCTCTTTCTTCCTCCCTCCCACTCTATCTGATGATAAATAGAAAAATATCATTGGGTGAGGATTAAAAATAATAATAAAATAAACCTTGGAAATAAAAGGGATTGACAGCATTTTGAGAACAGAGGGTTCAAGAGCAGGAGGGTGACGGGCTGCATGAGAAGGGTGGTCTGGGCAGGCCAGGAGAGTGGGCGGGGCCTGGCCCACGGGCTCCGCCTTCTCCAGTGACATCTCTGCCTGGAGCTAAGGGGAAGGACTCAAACCCCTTCTGTTTCTCTGGAGGGGGCGGGAATGGCAGCAGCAGACTGAGCCCCCTCTCCCAGCCCTGGGTTCCAGCTTCTCCGAGACATTCTGTGCCAGGTGCCAGGGAGAGAGATGGACAAGGGGCAAAGTCACCCTGAAGAACTACAACATGCTGGGAGACAGCTGCTCAATCAATCACCCAAATATTTATGTAATTTATAATATTTAATGTAAACTATAATATGTAATATAAAATATTTAATGTAAATTATAAGAGCTACTCACTCAATGCACATTTATTGAGCATCCACTGTGATGCCAGGCACATAAGGTGCTGGGGACATGCAGGTGGGTGGGACTTGCAGGTGGGTGGGACTTGCAGGTGGGTGGGACTTGCAGGTGGGTGGGACATGCAGGTGGGTGGGACTTGCAGGTGGGTGGGACTTGCAGGTGGGTGGGACTTGCAGGTGGGTGGGACTTGCAGGTGGGTGTGAGGAGGATGTACAACCAGGGAAACTAACCTAGCCATTTGGGGGGAGGACACAGCACCAGCACCGCCACCTGTCCCAGCAGGCACAGCTACCCAGCTCACTCTGGGCCCAGTGCCGGCCCAGGCTCTGCAGACCCCTCCCACTGGACCTCATGTCATTCGGCAAGGCTGGCCTCCCCGTCTCTCAGAGCCAGGCACAGGGAGGTGGCTTTCTAAAGGCAACTCGGGAGTCGGCAGGCCTCCTGGCCAGGGGAGCTCCTGTCTAGTATCTAGCTGCTGCCAACAGCCAGGCTCCCCCAGGGCATCCTCCAAACCTCCTTTCCTGTCTCCGTCTGATCACCCACTAAGCTTCGCCAAGTTACATTCTCTCATTTGAATTGTCCCCAGCTCTCTACCCACCCCATCAGGCCCCACTCCCACTAGCCATGGCGGCCACCGAGCATCATGTCCCCTGCAGTGCCCATCCACACAGCCAAGGAGGCCCACTCAGGCTACCAGACGTAGACGGGCTGCACCCCCCGGGAAGAACCTTCAGTAGTGCCCAGTGCCATCTGTATGTACCCGTAGGGTGCCCTCGTCCCTCGACTCCCCTGGCCTCGCATAGTGTGTTACCAACAACTGCTCCTACGTCCCCACGCTCTGGGCTGCACACTGCTGCAGGCCTTTGCTCACGCTGTGCCGCCCACCCAGGGAGCGTGCCCTCTCCCTAAACCCCCTTTCCACGGGCTCACTCCTATTCTTTTAGACATGATCTTCACCAGAGGGCTTTTCCTTGATCCCAAGATGGGTAAGGGTCCATCCTGTTTTCATAAGGCTTGGGCATAGCTCCATCACTGGGTTTAAACATGTTTTTGTTGTTGTTGTTAAATCTCACCCAAGGATATTTTCCCATTGATTTTGAGAGACAGTGCAAGGGAGGAAGAGAGAGAGACAGAGACAGAGACAGAGAGACAGAGACATCAATGTGAGAGAGACACACTGATTGGTTGGCATGACCCCAACCACAGCTGGCTGTCAAACCTAAAACCCAGGTACGTGCCCTTGACCAGGAACCAAATCTGCGACCCTTCGGTGCACAGGCTGAAACTCTAACCACTGAGCACACTGGCCAGGGCGTAAACATTATTTTGAGGGAAGCTGGGACCCTCTATGCCCACCTCCCAGAATGTGAGTCTCTGGAGAACCAGGCCCTGCCCCATCTGGCCCCTGCCCACCTCTACATCTTCCTTTTACCCCATTCACAGCCTCACTCACTCTGTATTCACGTCAACACTAGGCTCTCTTCGTGCCATGTTCTTTCTACCACAGGGCCTTTGCACACACTGTTCCTTCTTCTAGAAGCCCCTCCCTTATATTTCCATCTAACATTTACCCCTCCCCAGGACTCAACATAAGTATCACTCTCAGTGAAACCTCTCCCGATTTCCAGATTAGGTTAGCACCCCTTCCACCCCGAGTGCTGTGTCCACTGTTAAAGCACATGGGTAATTACGTGTGTAATGCTCACTCCTACCCATTAGTGCCTTACGACAAGAGACCACGGTGGTCTTGCTCGCTGCTGTGCCGCCAGTGCCAGGCCCACGGGAGGGGTTTGGAAAACGTCTGATGGTGGCTGAAGGACAGAGGACAGACCCAAGCTAGAGCCCCGGGAAGATAACCGCCCCAGGCTTCCCAGAGGGACCCTCAGCACAGTGCCTGGATATGGAGATCTTAGTACTCTCCTTGGCCCAGCCTGGCATTACAAGGCAGAACACCCTGGGGAGGAGATAAAAGCATTTGCTCCTCTGAAAGGTGCTAAAACAGCGTCTGGCTGCTGCTGAGTACAAGACAAGGTCAGCAAGAACTGAGGGAAACGCCGGAGGGGTGGCCGGGGTTCCCACCGGGCCCTGGTACCAGAGCACAGCTCTCCCGGGCTCCTGGCACCCAGCCCGGAAGGACACATCCTCTTGTCTGGCAGAGAGGAGAGAGGGAGAGGGGCAGGTTCCCTCCCTGGTCTCTTCCCCTGCGGGGACTGAGCCATCCCAGTGAGAAGGACAAATCAACTGTCGTGCAAAGATTCCTGCAAATCGTGCAGGACTCCACTCCTCTTGGGCATTTCATATTAATTTCTCTCTCCCCTTTGATGTTTCAGCTCTGTGTCCCCGCAGGCTCCTAACATCTAATTGCAAATTTTTTTAATTCAGTCCCATTTGGGAAATGCTGGCTCTGGTAATTGACACAGTTTGACAGATGAAGGGGACTCTTAGGCTTAGCTAACACCAGGGACCCCCAATTCCCTGGAGAGATAAGGAAACGGGGAAGCATCTGTGAGCCCCGGGTCTTCAGCCAAAGGGGGACAGCAGGTAGAGACAGACTAAGCAAAATGGAGCTGAGGGGTCACCAGGATGAGAGACAACACAAAAACCAGGACCCCAGGGAGACAAGTCAGAACCAGACAGACCCTGACAGGAGCGCGGAGGAGCCCTGGGGCCCGAGGCTGGTGGTGTTTGTGACAGCGGATGCAGCTCTTCCTTCATCCCTCTCTCTGCCTTCACTGTCCTGTCTGTCACGCCTGCCACTCAACTGTGAAGTGTGCCTCCAGAGATCAAAGGCTCCCTGCCCCCAGGGGCTGAGGCACTGAAGGCTCAGTGACTGGGATTTATGCTCTGCACGGAGAAGGCAAAGGCAGTGGCCTGGCTCCCCACCGCCTGTTGCCATCGGAACACAGGTGCGGGAGTCAGAGGAGCCTGGTGCGGTCCTGGCCCCGCCGAGGAGCCCGGCCTCCCTTTCCTGAGAAACGCAGATGAAGGCCATACGGTGGCTACATGTGTGCCCGGCCCAGGGCATGGGGCATGGTGTTTCTTAGACAGGCACTTGCCTCCCGACCTCTCTCTGGGTCCCTGGGACCGACTCTCGCCAAAGCAAGGAGGGGAACAGGGCCAGGGGAGGGAGGGAGGCCTGCCAGCCCCAGAGGTACTCACTTGGCGCGCAGGGCCAGCTGCCGATCGTTGGGGCACACCCACTGCTGGCTCCCGCTGCCGAAGATGGTGGCAGCCATGCCTGGAGCGCCCAGCCACTGGGAGTCACATCTGAGGTGAGAGGAAGAAGAAAGAGCGTGTCACTGGCCCGGGTGCCGATGGCAGCAGTCCCCCGGGCTCCACAAAGCGGCACTTCCAACCCATCCCTACACCGTTGCCCGAGGCCTGGAGTCCATCAGACTCACTCCTCCAGCTCCTCCAGCTGAGTCTGTTCCCTCCCAGCTCCTTTTGAAAGAAGGGGCGACCGCATTTTCAAAGTAGCTGGCCAGCCTGGGGGTGGCGGGGATTTGATCCCTGCACATCGTCCAGCAGGAGGGACCTGGGCTGGCGCACAGCGGTGGCGGGGGTGGAGATATGGCCAGGCAACCTGGGCAAACCCTACAGGCCCCCAAAAGAGGGGGACCTGAGCAGCGGCCAAGGCACATGGGTGTGCTGAAGCCAGGCGCCCTCCTCAGCTTTGCCAACAGGCCTTCATAGACTCTGCTCCCCAAGAGGTTCCGCCACAGCCAGCGGTCACAGTGCCCGGAGGGCAGAGGCAGAAGCAGAGCTGCCGCCGGACCGCACCCTGCACAACTGCAGGGGACATGGTGCAAACTGCACCCTCGGGGCGCCTGCCGCGAGGTGACCCTGCTCCAGAACCTCCTGGTGGTTTAACGTCTATGGCCCGCATACGCCTTTCTCTTCGCCACCAAGGACGTGTGTTAGAGGGAGAAAAAGGAGGAAAACAGACAGAGATGCTTTTGAGGGAATCGACCCAGAGCAAAGACAGGGACTGTACTGAGTTATCCACACTGCCCTGATCCAATCCCTCCAGCCCAGTGGTTCTCAAACACAGGGCTTCTTTTCTTTACACTCCTAAAAATGATTGAGGTCAGAAATTAGTCTTGGCAGTTCCTCAAATGATAAACAGAGTTGCCACATGACCCAGAAACTTGTTCTAGGTATGTACCAAAGAGAACCGAAAGCACACATGCACGCGAAATCTTGTACACGAATGTTCGTAGCAGCATTGTTCACGCTAGCCAAAAAGTGGCAACAATTCAAAGGCCCATCAACTGATAAACTGATCAAATGTGGCTCACCATACAATGGAACATTATTTGGCCATAACACGGGCAACCATTAAAAACATTTTGCTCAGTGAAAGAAGTCAGTCACAACAGACTACATATTGTATGGTTCCATTTATATGAAATATTCAGAATAGGCAAATCTAGAGAGAGAGAGTGTAGATTAGTTGCTGTCCCCGTTGGGGTGGGGGAAGGGAGGAGGGGGAATGCCTGCTAATGGGTTCAGGGTTCTTTTGGATGAAACTGTTCTGGGGTTTGATAGTGGTGATGGTTGCAGAACGTTGTGAATACACTAAAACCACTGAATCATACCCTTCACAGGTAAATTTTACGGTAGGAGAATTATATCTAATTAAATTGGTTTTTTTTTTTCACCCTCAACCAAGGACATTTTTCCATTTTTTGTTCAGATAGAGTGGGGAGGGAGAGAGAGAGAGAAACATCGACGTGAAAGGGACACATCGAGTGGTTGCCACCTGCACAACCCAACTAAGGCCGGGGACAAACTGCAACTGAGGTACATGCCCTTAGCGGGAACCGAACCCCGGTGTCTCTGGACCACAGGTCAATGCTCTACCGCTGAGCCAAACCCGCCAGGGCTCATTAAATTGTTATAAAAATTATTGAGGATGCCCAACCAGTGTGGCTCTGTGGTTGAGCATCAACCCACGCACTGAGAGGTCGTCAGTTCGATTCCCGGTCAGGGCACATGCCCAGGTTGTGGGCCCCATCCCCAGTGGGGGGTGTGTAGGAGGCGGCCAAACGATGTTCTCTGTCATCGATGTTTCTATCTCTCTCTCCCTCTCTCTCTAAAATCAATAAAGAAAAAAATTTATTTTTAAATTCTCGAGGACTCCGAGTGATATGCATTATATCTATTGATATTTATATTAGACATTAAAAGAGAAAAAAATAAATTCATTTAAAAATAATAAACCCATTAGACATTTACATGTTTTTGTTTTTAAAGAACTATATTCTCAAAGCAGAAACCCTGAGTGGAATAACAGCATTGCTTTACATTTTCACAAATCTGTGCAAGGGTCGGCAGAGCAGACAACAGCTGGATGCTCATATCTGACATTCCATTCAATCTTCGCGACATCTGGTTTTGTTAAAGTGCATGAAGGACATCCGGACTCTCGCGGACGCGTATTCGGGTTGGGAAGGGAGAAAGAAGTCTTTTCATTGCCTTTCCTGACCACTGTGGCCATTCTTCCACCCTGCACCCAAACTCAACAGTTGGTTGTTTCTTAAAGACTAGTGGCATCTGAAACCGTATCATTCAACTTGTCATGTTTGTGAGATAATGAGAACAAATGTCTTATTATTTCTTTAATTTTTTTTCTTTATTGATTTTAAAGAGAGAGGAAGGGAGAGGGAGAGAGAGAGAGAAACATCGATGAGAAAGAACATCGATTGGCCGCCTCCTGCATGCCCCTCACTGGGGATTGGGCCCACAACCTGGGCATGTGCCCTGACCTGGAATTGAACAAGTGACCTCTTGGTGCATGGGTCAACACTCAACCACTGAGCCACAGCGGCCGGGCTTAATATGTTTTTATTTATTTTTTAGAGAGAGAGGAAGGGAGAGAGAGATAGAAACATCGACATGAGAGAGAAACATTGATCAGCTGCCTCCTGCATGCCCCCTACTGGGGACCAAGCCTGCAACTTGGGTATGTGCCCTGACTGGGAATCGAACCGGGACCTCTCAGTCCATGGGACGACACTCAATCCACTGAGCCACACTGGCCAGGCCAAATGTCTTATTATTAGTATGAAAATTAAGTTTGATCTTGTAGATCCCCCTGCCCTGTTGGGAACATCCAGCCCATGGTTTGAGAAAGGCTGTTCCAGACCAATGTCAGTCATTTCTGAAATGACCAGCAGGGGGCAGCGTGCAGACTGCAGCTAACTGACCCACACAGAGACTGAGCCCACCACCTTGATGGCAAGGGTCTGTCTCTATCCCACTCAGCCAGCACATTCAGGCACCTGCTTTCCACTGTGGACTGCCTCAGGACAGAGACGCGTGTGGGGACCCCACGGGCAGGCCCACACTGGGGTGCCACCAGCAGCAGAGGCCCCCTCAGATTTAAAGTCTTGATTAAATGAGGCTAACATTCAATCCAGGAAAACACAGATGGGGTAAGAAATGAGACTCATCGACTTTAAACAGGTGTCTCACTTCCCACCTAGTGCACTGTGGATTGTTTTGTGTTGTTTTTTAACTTCTGTTATCTTGTGAATAGCACAGTCACACTGCTGGGTGGGTGTGAAAAGCGTTACTCTGCTCCAAGTAAACATTTAAAATATACCTCAACTCAGTAGCCCTGTTTCTTTATTATTATTTGAAAAACACAGTAGACCCTCCTATCCTTGGGACACATATTTCAAGACCTGTAGTGGATACACATACATTTTTTTCCTATATACACATACTGTGATACAGTTTACTTTACAAATTAGGCACAGTAAGAGATGAACAACAATAACTACTAATAAAACAGTTATAACAATATACTGTAATGAAAGTTATGTGAATGTAGTCGATCTCTCTCTCTCTCAGAATATCTTATGGTACTGCATTCCCTTTTCACTTAAAAGGAGCATCTTACCACTTCTCTTGGGCATCTCTGAATTGCTAGCATCCCTACATTTGCACTTTGGGGTCACTGTTACGTAAACCAAGGGTTACTTGCACAGAAGCACTGCGATATTGTGACAGTCGATCTGATGACCGACACAGCTACTAAGTGACTCACAGCACGGAAACACTGGATAAAGGGACAATTCACATCCCGGGCAGGACAGAGCAGGATGGCACAAGATGTCATCACACTACTCGGAACAGCGCATCATTTAAAACATGAATTGCTTATTTTGGGTATTTTCCATTTAATATTTTCGGACCGCAGTTGACTATAGGTAACCGAAACTACAGAAGGTGAAACCGCGGATAAGGGGGACTACTGCATTCTGGGAGCTTCAAGTAATGGAAGTGATGGTCTCTCCAGCTGGGAGAGGTGTGCCCTGGGTAATCTGGGTGCCCAGCAGCCACCTGTCCGTGCCTCACAGAGGCTGCTGGTCCTGCTTCGACCTGCAGGGGCCTCCACATCCCAGGCCACTGCTCCCAGGACTGGAGGGCCCTGAGCCTCCTGCCCATCCTGGGGCATCTGGGCGCCTGGAGTTTGGAGTGGCCCCTCCTCTCTGCCAGGCATCCCCACAGAAACAGGGAGCACCGGGACAGGGGGTGACCATGGAGAGAGGAGCAAGCCAGGGAACCTCAGGGTGGGAAGTCCATCTTCTCCAGAAGCTTCTGAATCAAAAGGGAGCCAGGAAAGGGGAGGAGACAGGAAGAAAGAAAGGGTCCAGTGCTCTCATGTTCCAACCATCACCTCCTTTATGGTGGGACAGGTGGGGTCACCCAGGAGAGCCAGCCGCAAACAGGCAGAGACACAGCAATTCCTCACAGGCCCAAATGAATCTCTAGGGGATGGACCCCATTTTCACCTTTTGAGTCACTTCCTAGCGGGGCCAGGGTTTGAGGATCGCTGGCAAGGGGGTCCCCAAACTAACATTTATCTGTCCCCTGACCCACTTGAGGGCAATTTCTTTTCTTTGTTTTTTTAAATTTGAGCCAAAACAACTCTGTGGCCACCCACAGGGTACTCTGTTCTTCCTGAATCAAATGATTGTTTTTTTCTGTTCGACAGAAAAGAGAGGTTAGGACGCCGAGAAAAGGTCACAGAGCTGGCTCTGCCAGTCTACGAACCCTCAACCGATATTCCCTTTCTGCGCCAGGGACCTTGTGCCGAAAGTGCAGAGCGGAGGGTTTTGGAGCAGGGTGGAAGGAGGAGAGAAGACTCAACTAGGAGAGAAAAACCCACGAACATCTGGCTTTTATGTAAACTTACTGGAAGACCAGGGACAAGTCAGTTAGCTTTCCTGGGCCTCAGTTTCCTCATCGGCACCCAA